ACCATAAAAGTGGTCAATGTAAGTTGTGAGCGATATTACAGATCTTCTGAAAATTTAAACACGCACATGTTCAAATCACACAAATTCGAACTACCATAGAGAGGAAGATTTCAAGTGTCAAACAACTTATGACGATATGATTTCAGGATACTTGGCACAAATCAAATGCTGTCACGGTGCTTTTATGTCATTTCTGGATCTTGACAGGCCCTGGTCACAATTTATTTTCATTATATGAAAAAGAGCAGCATGAACATCCTGCTTAACATCTTCCTTTGTGTTCTACAGAAGAAAGAAATCATACAGGTTTTGATCAATGAGTAAATGATGACAGATTTTTCATTTTTGGCTGAACTGTTCTTCTAAGTCGATGTCAAATTTTAAAATTCCATTTGAACTATATGACAGCAGTGCTTTCCCTTTTCCTAATAACAGGATCTCGAGCCTCAGAGGTTGTGGAAGTGTCAGCTGCTCCAGCTCCGATACAGGATCGTGAGTGCAACTCAAAGCCTTGTGTCTTTTTAATATTACATTGCATTACATTCACGTTATGCAAAAAGATAGCAGCAATCTACAGTCAGTCTGTTGTAACTCTGAATCTTTCTTTTCACAACCTGGTGAAACAGTTCCTATGTGCCGACCAACACCTGTGTACTGCCCAGTGCCCCCTGGCTGGTATGGTGAGTAATGCAGCCACCCACAATTACAGTAACTCAATGTACTTTACATAAAACACCTTCAAACATAATTTAAACATACTTAAAATATTCTTTAATGCCCTGAAATGTACTTTATCTTTTATCTTACAGTGCATCATATAGTTACAAGTAGCCCATTACCACCATCGGCTATTCCAGGTATTCAAAACTATTTTAATTCAAATCCATTCATAAATATATCACTTACATATGTTATTGATAACTAATTTATGTCTGTCAATGAAAAAAAAAAAAAAATCTGTCCATTTCAGAGAAAGTACAGTATGTTTCCAAGAGAGATGTGTCTAAAGAATTAATACATCACAAGATTTTTTTAACACTACAGTTACTGTGTTTTTCAGAATCAGAAGTTCCGATTTTAACAACTCGTCAAGCTCCTACTGTACTGAAAGGTGTTTATCTCATAATATATTATAGATTTAATTTTATATGACAATAATTTTGCCTTTGTCTTGTTTTAAATCTAATTTAATGTTTCCTTTGCTTAAGAACCAGAAGCTGCTGTGGCAAAGCCAAAACAAGCCACTAAAAAGAAAGGTATTGTAGTAATTTCTTGAGTTTTGTGCCAGTAGTAAGAATGCTTTATATTTTTCTAGTTATGTTAACAGACCTGAAGCAAGTAATAACCTTTGACCTCCAATTTCAGAACCAGCTGCGCCAAAAGAAAAAGCCAAAGTTCCTGCAAAGAAGGGTGAGATCCAATTTAAAATGAAAGGCAGTATCTGAGTTAAAATACCATTAATCATATCGGAGAAGATGCTTTACTCAATGTTTGTCATTATTATAACAACTTTGTTATATATTTTGTATGTGTGGATTTGAATTTGTGCTTTTCTATTTCATTTTGTACATTTGTACTGTATGTCTTCAAGAGCCCACAGTTACTAAAGCCAAAGTAAAACCTTCAGTGGCAAAGAAAGGTAAGAATAATAGAAAATGATGGCTACATTTAAATTTTAGATCTATTTTCATACTGAATAAATCATTTTTTATGATTTAGAGCCAACAGCTGTGAAAGAGAAGTCTAAAAGGACAGCTAATTATGGTTCAGGAGCTGACTTTGCAGTAGTTTTATATTAATGAGCAGTAGCTTATAATTTCCTCTTTTACAGAGCGATTGATCACTAAAGAAAAGGCTAAACCTACCTCTACTAAGAAAGGTATGTTTTATTGTTGCATATTATTTATAATATATTATATACATATAATGTAATATTATATTTCATGCATTTATTCATTTATTTATTCCACCATGAATTCTTCTGTGTTTACCTGTGAAATAAAGTGATATAGATGCTTTATAAAATAAATAGAGAATAAATAGAGTTGTCATGGACAACTCAAGAGATGCTTGTTTTTCATTTCCTTTTCTTTTGCCATCTTAAAAACAATTACCACCAATCTGGTTGTTTGGCATCCAGAAATCATGAATCTTAAATATGTATTCTCTGTCCTTTTCTCATTAGAGCCAGCAGTAACAAAGAAGGCAAAAGTAACAACAGCCTCACATAAAGGTAACCTCACATACTGCACAGCTTAATTATACATACAGTACATACATATATTCATATTTATAGCTTAAATGTATAACTTTTATACACAAAAGCTTAAAGCTATAAAAGAAGGAAGAAGTCTTAATCTTTGTATTAGTTCCTTTAATACTCACTGAAAGAGGTTCAACTGTATCCTAAACGGTGTTTAGAAATTGGTAACAGCTATAAATATTTCACACTGGATGATATTTGTCTCGCTTCTATAGGCAAGTGCCTGTTAGCCGCCCGTCATAAAATGTTCCGCCATGCTACTTTTTTAACGTGTTGGACTCTCAGAGTTTTGCTGAGAGTAAATGTAATGGTCCCTGCTACATTAGCTGAATTCCACATTGCTCTTTTACTGTATTTTTGCTTATCAGTTGCTTCTAGATCTGCGCACATGGAAAATTAATTGTTGTTGTACGCATTTCTCCGCATGCCATTTAGTTTATTTGATGCCATAAAATCCCTGCAGTCATGCAGACAGGGCACCAGTCTTGGATAATATTGAATAATATTTGAATATTATTTGATTATTTCATAATTCATCCAATAACTCTATACTCTTTTTTTGTGCCTCTACAATGGTAGAAGAGAAAGCTGTAAAAGAAGTGAAGCCCAAAGCAGAGGGTATGTTATTTTACTGTAAAGTATTCAGTAATAGTTTTACTATTGCTCATATTTAAGGTTTAGGGGTTTAAACAACTCCCTAATATTAAATATTAAACTACTGAACTCATCCAACAGCATTAGTGCTGCTTAGATGTATTATGACCTGGCCTCAACGTTTTTCTCATAAATGTTAAAATGAAATAAATAAAAACAAACAAAAAAGCCTTATCATACAATGTCATAGAAACAAAGTGGGAGACTAACAGATGAACACCACACTTTTCTTCAGAAAATGTCAACATGTAATTAAAAAAATATTGGTTATATATTTAAAATCTCTCTCCTTATTGATAAAATGGTTTATAATAAAATTAGTAATAATAAGCATTGCAATCTTGCTCTGAATGTGTTGAAGACAGTTTGTTCTAGTGAACATTTCAATCAGTAATCCTCCAAACAACAACTACATTTGATTAATGATTTTGTCCATCTTGAGCGATAGGTCACTGCGTTTTAGATTGCTAATGGACTGTTTAGAATTACTGCATGCAATACTTCGTGACTTCTTGACAGGAAACCAGTGCACAATATTTATGCGCTTTTTAACTCATTGACATCCTGTAAAGGGCTAACAGATCAAATACTGCAAGAGTTAGCAATTCCTGTTTATAGTAATTGACAAGCATGACTAAAAGTAAAAGTGATAAAATTGTGATTTTTAAAATATATTGTATACTGTGCTGTATTGTATACTGTATACTGTACCATCAGTGTAATATCTTTGATTATGTTTGATCATTAGTCAAGAAGAAGGCTCCACCAACACCGAAAGCCAATCAAACCATTAAAGAAGTTGTGGGTAAGTTTTAATGATTCTTTTAAGATTGCATTATAAAAGCCTGATAGACATCTCTGTATCTTTGAATATCCCCCAATAAAGAGAGAAAACATCTTTGATTTCCTTTGCTAACGAGCCTAAAACTGGATCCGAAGTTTCCACAGAATTTTATTCTTGACAGCTCACAGCACAATATAGACAAGCATGGCAAAATATTGAGAAAGTGTTTTTATATTAATTTCCCAATGGATGCTTTGTGTTTTGAACACTGGTACATGTTTTCTTTGTTTTCACTGAGAACTCACTGCATAGACAAAAAAATAAATAATAAAATCTCGCTAGACTTCAGTTGGCACAAGAAAATTGGATCTGTCAAGTTATATAATTTCAGATGAAGTCATGAACAGAATTTCTCTATTTTTATGACAGGAAGTGCACCTTTCATGTTCTGCTCCATGACTATGTAATCACATAACTGAACATGTGTTCCTGACACCTAAAGAATAGAAATAACTCTGATTTTAAACTTGATTAAAAGACTTAGCATGCATACATGAAGGGCAATTATGAAGGTGTCACATTCACATATTGTGTAAATGTAAAGGCACAGGAGACTGAAAGAAAATACGACAAGCACTATTTTCCTTCACCGCCAGGAACACCTGTTCCAGATGAGAAGAAAACAACTAAGGAAACCCAAGGTATGAAGTCTATGGCTCTGTTTTAAAAACTAGTGTGCTGACTATGTAGACAGCATTTTAAAGAGATAAGTTGACCAAAAAAAAATAAATAAATAAAAAATAATTAGTTTTTCATCCTCACGTCATCTGAGTTGAATTCAAGAATTGGAAATTGGTTTTGTGAACTGGATCAGCTATTTTATTTCAGTCAGACTCAAAAGAATAAACTTTTAGTGATATATTATATTATATATTCCTTTATTTCACAACATAGGGGTGAGTAAATATTTACTGAAAATGAGTGTTATATTTACAATAACAACACAAAATATTTAGGCCTAAATTTAAGATTTATGTATTTGAATTGCATATAAAATTTCCACCCATTTGGATTGCACATTTAACTAATACATAATACATACACATAAAAAAAGCATATTTGTCAGTCATACATATATGAAAAGGGTGAGGAACTGTAAAAAATGCTGCACTAAAAACCATGGCATAGTTTATTATTAACTATTTGCATATTTTATTTAATAATTATATTTTCAAAATCCGTTTATTCAAATTGCTTAGAATCAGCATGAATCTGTTCAATGTAAAAACAAACAAACAAACAATTATTCAGTTAGAAAGTATTAAAGGGGTCTTAAAAGTAAAAGTAAAAAAGGTGATGCTTTTTTAAAGATCATTATTTTGTGTATTTGGTGTAACAGAATATGTTGACATGCTTTAATGTTCAAAAAACACATTATTTTTCAAATACTGTACATTATTGTAGGTCCTCTATGCCTCGCCTCTCTCAAACGCGTCGTTTTCTACAAAGTCCCTCCTTCCGACAAGCACAGTCTGCTCTGATTGGCCAGCTGAACCAGTGCATTGTGATTGGCCGAACACCACAAGCACCTGTCGGAAATGTAACGCCCCTTACCATAATCCCGAGCTTCATGATCTTATCTATGCACAATCAACTTGTAACTCTCCAAAGAGAAAGGAAAACTTGAAATCGCATCATATGACCCCTTTAACATGGCTAGCTGTAGTCAAATTTTCACTTCTGAGGTTTTATTTCAGTTAGAATGCTCCCTAATAAGGCAGTGAGACAGGTTTTGGAACAGAGCCCATGTTTTGCCATCACTTTCAGGTTGATCTTTGCTAACCACAATTCTGTCCTCACATTTCTGTCTTCAGACAAACCAGCTGAGGCACCAGCACCAGCAAGTAAGTTCAGATGTTTTCTGACATCCATGAGGTGTGGAAGAGTATGGTGTGAAGCTTCTAGAGCTGCTGTTTGAGTTTAAATGTAGCCTGTTTGCTTCATATACAGTAATGCTGTCCCTAATCATTCAGAAATCATAAGCAATAATCAAATGCATGCATTTGTGTAAGCAGGTTGAAACATCTGCAGACTACATTTAGAAATGCATTGCTAAGCATTCATAGTGATCATGCGTACCTGCATACTGTAGAACTTGGGAGAACTTCAAAAACTTCCAGGCGACACTGAGGTACAATTCCCTATTCACCGGATGTATTAACTTCACCGTTTCAATAACTGAACCGCAATAATTCACTGGAAATCAAATGAACCACATTGTTACTATTCAAGGTTCCCACTTAAACCAGAGAGATTAAACTATTTTTAAACAGCATTAGTGAAATTGCAAATTAAATGCTGCTGTTAATACACTAATGCTGCTGGCAATTTGGCCCTGTGAACTCCTAATTTCACTCTTCCACTGTAACACCCACCTACTGTACTTTTTTACACAAATCACTTGACTTGCTTGTTAGAGTCAAATTTACTAACCGTTGTGCCAATTTAATGCATGTTATCTCAGTAAAAACCCTGGGTCTTATTCACAAACCACTTGCAGTCTGATTTAACAAGGCACTATTCACTGAAAAACATAATTTAATCAGTATAATTGTCTTATTTTCCAGTAAAAATAAGTATGCACAAAATACAGATATTTCCAGTATGATCTCAGACAAATTTTGTGAGATATAGTGACAGATCCCATTGATTTACATTACAAGCTACCAGAATGTCATCATAATTTTTGGGCGTATAAATATCGGCAACTGCACCAAATTGCACATTTTTGGTCAGTTTGGGCCTCATGTATGAGTTCTATATTCTCCTATATCATGTTATATGAACCATAAAAACCTGAAGTATCAAATATGATATTCAAAAATAAATAAATAAAATAATAATAATAATAATATTTTGTATGAAGGCTCAATAAAATACGTCAGACTTTAAGGGTTAAGAAAGTATAGATAAAACAGCAAAAAAAAAAAAAAAGGATGATTATGAAAACAGATTATGTTAATCTAGCATGCTGTTTTTGGGCACAGTACACTCTGGATTTCCTCCTTAGTTTTTATGTCTATTTTCTGATTCCTTCTGTATGCAATGCAACATTACAATGGCAAATTGCTTTGACCAGGACAAAGCCCTCAGTTCATCTGCAAATGCAACTTTTTGTATTGTTACAGTGCCACTTACTCTTCAGATGACAATTTCTTACTAGTTCACTAAGAAATTCTCTTTAATATAAAAACGTGTTTCTCCTTGAGAAATAAGTTTAAGGATTTGAAATCCCCCCCAAGGTCTCAAGTGACTTTATTCACAGCCTGGTTTTCATCCATTTAAAGTAGCTTTTGAAGGCTGCCATTACTTTAAAATTCAAGTCTTCGACTCTGCCTCAGTGGGTATTTGCAGATATCATGGTCTGCTGCATGTAAAAATTGTTCCTCTGAGAACTGAGCTTTGTCTTGTCTCCTCATAACAACCCTGATAACTAAATGTCACATTAACAGATATTCTATACTAAACTGAAAGTCCTTGCCCTGTCATTTAAAGATTTGCGTCTGCATAGTATATATTGATATGAGTAAAATTTTTCTTCAATTTCTCTTTCTAACAACTTCAATTAGAAGATCTGAAAGCGGAGGAAAATGTCACAGAGGGGAAAAAGCCAGGTAAAGTTAATCTAATTCTACTTAATTTGTCAACACAATATATTGCATTATAGTAGTTTTGCTACAGAAATCCTCTGTAACATTGTACATCATAATGTTGCATTGCAATATGCAATTTTGCAAAGCATGTATCCTGTTGCCGGACAAACATAAAGAACAACTTTAGATGCAATATTGTTATTTTCTGTTTGTTTGTTTATTTATTTGAACCTGGATTTTGTGATTTATTTATTTAGTCATATGGAATATTTTAATAAAATAATAAATACTGTATATATAATGTTGAATAGTTTTTAATTATAAAAATACAGGACCAAAATAAAACTAAACACTTTTTTTGATATAACAGTAAATCTATACATTTATTTTTAGAACTGTTTTATTTGTTTGTTTGTTTGTTTAGCTACAGAAACCTTTCAGCATGTAACCTGCTGCAAAACAAACCTCAAGCACAACTTTATATGATTAAAGACACAATAGCTTTCAGTTATCATCATTATTATTATTATTATTATTTGTTGTTGTTTGAACCTGGATTTTGTGTATTTATTTATTTACTTAGCATGTGTATATATAATGTATGCATGTATATATATATAATAGTTTTTATTATAATAAATATTACACAAAACTAAACTCTGTTTTGTTGTTGCAATAAATGTATAAATGTTTTTTTAGAAGTGTTCATTTGATCAGTTTTTATTTTATTTCAGAACTGAGAATCACTCATTCTTTGTATTGCAGGCAAGATACCATACTTCCAGTGTGTTTTAATGAGTTCTAAATCCAGCCAATATCCACTGCGGCCCATGTCCCCAGCTATGAGTCCAGCTATTAACCCCACCATGATGAGAGCCATGATGGAGCAGAGGGCTGCGTTACTGCTGCAGAAAGCCCGTGCAGATGGCCAGTAACTGGACGACAGACCCCGTCCGGCCCTGCCAGGTGCAAACTGCTTATGAACTTCTGTAAAAACACAGTGCTGCTAGGCTCTCAAGAGCTGTCCACCTTAACCATCAGAGACTTTAACAAATAATGAGTGGAGATCCCTGGTTTTTCAGTGGACACTCTCCATTCTTTCATAAGTGTTTTTCTAATCTGAACAGTTTCACAATTTTGACAAAAAAAGTATATGCAATTACATCAAAGAAACATAAATTAATTATAATGTACATTTTGGAATATATTTAATGCATAAACACCTGTCAAAGCAATGTTGTGTTACTGGGTAGATTTACTTTTTTTATGTACTTGAGATCTTAAATCGTCTGTTTACATTTTTTTTTTTTGCAGGGAAGATTCTGCTGTTTTTTTCTTATTGTACATAAGACTACTCAGCGGTGAAGCAAATTTAGAACTGGTTAAATAATTTAAGTGTTGCTCTAAATATTCATTTAGTTATTTTTCTATGTCAGAGTATATGATCCCATTACAGAGAGAAGTCTAACAGCACACATTCACTGAAGGCCTTATCTTTTGGCCCAGGCCATTTCCTTTGACTCACTGGTAATGAGATTATGTGTAGAGCGTTTGGGCTCTACCAGGGTCTGCGATCTCTCTGCATTTGTATGCACAGCCATTAGAAAGCAGGAGGACGCCATTTGGACCGAATCCGATTTATGTCTTAACCAGTGAAAAGAGCTTGCATGCTTACAGACTTGAAAGAGTCATTAAGAAGTGAAGGCACACCTACAGCCTCTATATAATGAAAGGCTTGAATTTTACTTGACTGAGACTTTTCTAGTATCTCTTTAGTTAAGTGAAACCCCTTATTGGAGGTTATTAGATTTATGGTAGTGAATTGAATAGTGTATGAATATGTACAATGTAACTTTTCATGTACAGGTAAAACCCAAAGCAATTGTGCTACTTGTATAAAGTTAAAGTATACAGTAAATACAGTGTTTGTCCGCCATGCCATAGTTTTCTCTGTTTTCCTAGATCAGCGGTCTTCAACTTTTTTCAAACCACACCCTTCGTGGATACACAGCTGCGTTTCAGGCCTGGCCTAAAATATAATGCAATTTTTTTGTTGGAAGAGCCATTAAGTAATTATTACACAGCCCTATGTCTTGGGGGGAAAACTCTGCTGATCTGCAAAAAAGGCTAATATTACTGAATTTTATGATGCTGAGTTCATTTTCTGTCACTATTTGGATGTAGTAAAACCAATAGATGTAGCTGAAAACATCTGATCATGTTTGCATTTTTTTCTATCACTGGTCATAATTCTAATCTTGAAATCAGGATTAGGGATAAAATAATGTCTTCAGAATCATTTATACACGTGAAAACTGGCTCCACCATGATGAGAGCCATGATGGAGCAGAGGGCTGCGTTACTGCTGCAGAAAGCCCGTGCAGATGGCCAGTAACTGGACGACAGACCCCGTCCGGCCCTGCCAGGTGCAAACTGCTTATGAACTTCTGTAAAAACACAGTGCTGCTAGGCTCTCAAGAGCTGTCCACCTTAACCATCAGAGACTTTAACAAATAATGAGTGGAGGTCCCTGGTTTTTCAGTGGACACTCTCCATTCTTTCATAAGTGTTTTTCTAATCTGATCAGTTTCACAATTTTGACAAAAAAAGAATATGCAATTACATCAAAGAAACATAAATTAATTATAATGTACATTTTGGAATATATTTAATGCATAAACACCTGTCAAAGCAATGTTGTGTTACTGGGTAGATTTACTTTTTTTATGTACTTGAGATCTTAAATCGTCTGTTTACATTTTTTTTTTTTGCAGGGAAGATTCTGCTGTTTTTTTCTTATTGTACATAAGACTACTCAGCGGTGAAGCAAATTTAGAACTGGTTAAATAATTTAAGTGTTGCTCTAAATATTCATTTAGTTATTTTTCTATGTCAGAGTATATGATCCCATTACAGAGAGAAGTCTAACAGCACACATTCACTGAAGGCCTTATCTTTTGGCCCAGGCCATTTCCTTTGACTCACTGGTAATGAGATTATGTGTAGAGCGTTTGGGCTCTACCAGGGTCTGCGATCTCTCTGCATTTGTATGCACAGCCATTAGAAAGCAGGAGGACGCCATTTGGACCGAATCCGATTTATGTCTTAACCAGTGAAAAGAGCTTGCATGCTTACAGACTTGAAAGAGTCATTAAGAAGTGAAGGCACACCTACAGCCTCTATATAATGAAAGGCTTGAATTTTACTTGACTGAGACTTTTCTAGTATCTCTTTAGTTAAGTGAAACCCCTTATTGGAGGTTATTAGATTTATGGTAGTGAATTGAATAGTGTATGAATATGTACAATGTAACTTTTCATGTACAGGTAAAACCCAAAGCAATTGTGCTACTTGTATAAAGTTAAAGTATACAGTAAATACAGTGTTTGTCCGCCATGCCATAGTTTTCTCTGTTTTCCTAGATCAGCGGTCTTCAACTTTTTTCAAACCACACCCTTCGTGGATACACAGCTGCGTTTCAGGCCTGGCCTAAAATATAATGCAATTTTTTTGTTGGAAGAGCCATTAAGTAATTATTACACAGCCCTATGTCTTGGGGGGAAAACTCTGCTGATCTGCAAAAAAGGCTAATATTACTGAATTTTATGATGCTGAGTTCATTTTCTGTCACTATTTGGATGTAGTAAAACCAATAGATGTAGCTGAAAACATCTGATCATGTTTGCATTTTTTTCTATCACTGGTCATAATTCTAATCTTGAAATCAGGATTAGGGATAAAATAATGTCTTCAGAATCATTTATACACGTGAAAACTGGCTGAGAATTGAATAAATAGCTGCAGCCTGGCTCAGAGGATAATAGAAATCATGTCTTTGTGGCAGTTTTTACGTTTATTTCAAGACTTCTTCACCTTAGAAATGGTTGTTGAAAGCAGATATGCTACTAAATTCATCATATTTTGTGAGAAAGTGTGACGTGCTAAAGCAAAACAGGCACTATTTTTGAATTAGCACCCCAAAATTAGTAAGAAACAAGTATTGGATTTCATTCAGCAAATATGATGTAGGGCAATGTAATATAATAATATTAATTACTTAATATTTTTAATGTAAGCAAGACAATTAAATATTTAGCTTGATTTTGATTACAACATTGTTTATTTATTTCACAAAAATAGCTTAACATTAACAAAAATTGAAGACCCCTTGCAGTCCCACTGTTGAAGACCCCTGTCCTAGACAGTCATCAAACAATATGTGGATTTACTGTAAATTACAGTAGTAGAAAAAAAGAGATGTATGTGTGTAATATTTGCCTTTACTTTGACCAACAGATTTTCTAGATGGTGATCTGAAGTTACTGTCAATTCTTGTTCCTGTAACATATTGCACTGTTCAGTGCAAATATTGCGGGTATGACAATTTCAACCAGGAAAAAACTTTGTCTTATTCAAGAACACACTGGTGTATGATCTTTATTTTCAGTAACTTAAGGATTGGAATGGCCTAAAATATGTCCTTGAATATATTCTCATAATCCACTGCAGTGGAAAAAAATCTAAATGACAAGAACGAGAGTGAACAGCCGGCCGCATTTTGAGTGCTGCTGTGCATATGGGCTACATATGGTCGTAGAAAGACTGCATAATGTTTATACTGTATGTAGTGACTGCAGCAGAAGGCCGTTTCTCTTTAATCAGGACATAGTGAGAAAGGTAGCTGTAACTGTTTGACTTTGAACAGAGAAGTAGGCCAGAGAAATAATTTCACTTTGAAGTTACAACTGCACAGAGCCGAGAGGATGTCAACTGAACGAGAGGATGTCAACTGAACAATATATATATACACATGAACAATGAGCAATACAAATATCAATGACACTGTCTGAAACACGCATAAAATCAATGTAATTTTTGTGTGACTTTGAGAAAAATCACTGTCTTACCGTAAATAAGAGACAGTTTACAGTAAGAATGCAATGTTTACAAGGTGGAACCTCAACTGTTGATTCTCAGAAGGCTTTGCGCACTATAGATGTATAAAACTCATGTTTAGGGCTGAAAACTTTAAGAGGTGATAGAAGTTGTTCTTAGTTTTTTTTTTTTTTTTATGTGTTTGGTATTTGCATGACCCAATGAGAACAGTGAAAATGTCAGTTTCTGATGTGCTAAATTAGCTTGCTATACTGTATTTCAATCGAGGCTGCTAAATTGTCTTTCTTTCATAAATCTTGCACTGATAACATTAGGTTGGATACCTAAAACTTGTCACCCTTGTTAAGGCTCGCCGTATGTTTAGCTTATAAAAGGATAGATTCGTTTTCCTTCACAAAACTGGGATTTTGTGGTTTGATTCAGCAGTTTAATGTCAGATTGTGCCATAATTTGTCATCACATCACAAAGACCTAATTCACAGTTTTAAATATGTCAAACTGTCATGTTCTTATGAATGTTGAATAAGATCTGTCAGTAGAACCAAAGGAAATTTGTGACTAAATCATTGTTGCTTTTTTCTTTCATTCACATCTTGCTGGATTTTATCTTGGAGTAGGCAAAATTATGATAATAAAGTAATCATTTTGGGCAAACTTGTCTGTGACAGAATTTATTTTTCTTATTCATTTGGGTGAAAAAATATTTTAATTGAAATATATATATATATAAAAGAAGCGGTCTGTGTAATTCAGTCTATCAAAGTTTTATGAATGAAAAAAGAGTCTTTTCTTCTACAAAATGATAGCGGGTTAGTTACACTCCAGTGAGTTTTGTGGCCAGTTTAATATATTTTGACATGAAACTGAACAAAAAATTGAGCATGAACTCTAGGAAAAGAATATAAGAGAAAATAAGAGCACAAATGAACCATTACAGAATATTAGAAGCAAGTGTGTCCTGTTTTTTCTAAATGTTGTTTTTGACAAATTGCTGTGGGCTATATTCAGTTTTCCATGTACAACAGAAATATCAATATATCTGATATATCAAAACACTTTTGTGGAAATGTGTTTAGTCAGCAAACAAATGGAAACTAAACGGTTAGTTTACTTTCTACACATTAGCTCAAACGCGAATACT